CGGAAGGAAATACTAAAGAGTAGGCCAATATATTTTGTGACACTTTACTTCGTCTTCACACAACCTACTCGCATTAACTTGGTCCGTCGGTGCTGGGTACAACGAGACCCTTTGCTTTGGGCTCCAGACTCTGGGTGGGTAGGCTTGTAAGGGTATTCCTTTAAGCTTCGACAAAAATTGTCGATTGAAAGTATTATCTTACGTCGTTCTTTTGGTCGAGGTCTTGCGTTGAGAAAGACTTTTTGATTAGGGCCGTCCTAAGGCAGTCCCAAACGAGGAAAGCGTCGTCTGGTGTTTTGAGGAGGCTAGAAGCCAAATCACCACAACCATTCTTCGCCCACAACCGCAGGCAGAGACCGAAGATGCCTCAGTGGATGCTCCGCTGTAGCATCAACAACTTCAAGGATCATCTGTGAAGTTATCCTGAAAACGAACCTACAGTCTGTTGCTCAGACTCGAGGTCAGTCGGCACTTTGGAATTGATCAGAGAGGTGAAGTTTGCTTATACTTTTTGAAGTACCATTCAAGTAGTTTGTTATTTGCATTAAATACTTTAGGTGGCCAGTTTGAGGAGTGTAGGAATAAAAATTAACACCATAAAATTGCTTATTTCAGAGATTAAAGAAGCTAATTTCCCAAAATTATCTGCACCTATCATTAATTCGGCTGCACATGTTTTACTTTTATGTCCCGTACCTTCGTTGTCTCTGTATGGTTGTTGTCTGCCTGCCTGATGTATTCTTCCCTGACACCCTTTTCTGTTCATTCTGTCCTTCTATTGCCTCCACGGCTTGTGCACTTCCTGTGTCGGTGTCACTTGAATGCACGGCCAATTAGCGTTGACCTCCCTCTGGCCAGCAAAAGGGAACACGCATTTCCCTTTTGGCATATTCATTTATACATTTTACTTTTGCATTCTAATCAGGCGATCTCGATTTGTTATTATTTTTTCGCCCAAACACCCATTTTTGCCTGCTATACTAAACTTGGAGGACTGTGATTTTGTTTGTATTTTGTTACTACAACCTCATTTCTGGCATCGTTTGATTACAATACACCGCCTTATCTGTACCATAACACAACCTTGCTGACACTTGTTTAAAGTCGGGCGTGTGGTCGTTCAACTGGGATGCTGAATCGGAAGAGCCGAAGAGCTCTGGAGCCAAGGACATGGTAGGCGAAAGGTCTTGTCACGAAATGGCACTCACGGCCTCTTCAAGACATGATCATTGAAAATATTGGAAATTTGTCTGGACTGCATTTATTCACTCCTCTGCTCTGCACCTCAGTAGTTAATGCACTACTCCAGAAACAGCTTGACTAGTTCAAGTATGCAATTTTGGGACTTGCCCACCAAGCGATGTCTTCTAATCGCGTCGCCATGGAGGTCAGCCTAGAGTAGTAATGGTTGAAGTTTCGGCTCACTCAATGGGTACATTCCGGCTTATGAATAGGATATGATTTAGCATAATGGTGACTTCAAAACGAACAGGAAGCCTCGTTTCAGGCGCGAAGAAGCATGCTAGCTTGAGATTTTAATTAAGTCTATGATGCTACTCACTCGGAATAGAGTAGTATGTGTAAGTATGAAGATTAATAATATGCCATCCAATTATAAATGTAAATTGCTGCCAACTAATTAATTCCGTATCTAACGAAGCATGATGATGAGCCCAGGCAGAGCCGAGCCTACAATCAAACTTTAATGATAAATTACTTTTAGAGACGAGATTAGGTATAGTTCAATGTCATCGTAACGTTTTCTTCTCGTTTCATCTTGGACTATTTAACAATCATTCGTTACCACATTGGCTAAATTCGAGGACAACCTACTATTTCAATAGTTCAGCTATCTATTGTAGTGGAGAAAAGTGATCTCAGTTGGCTTTTGACACGTTTGCAACTGTCACCGAGCCAAGGAAGGACGAGGTTTGGGCTGTTGATAGGATAGTGAGGCAAAGCCGAAACCGTATTTCAACTTGAGTAGGAAAGCAGAATGAAATCTAATTACTTTTGACTTGTTTCATTGAGGGAACTTTAAGTATCCACATCTTTGCCTCATTTTAAACTGCATCGTCCAACTCGAGTTCCTATTTGGGCTGAACGAGCCCAGCAAAGAAACAATTGCAGTTCCTTTTTTGCCCTATTATACCGGAAGCTGAAGAGGCAAGAAGAGAGGCAAAAAACAGAGGATTTATTGCAATTAGTGGTTAAACAGAGACGTGATTGGCTGACAACGCGTCGTTTATCTCTTTCTCCAGACAGATCTTGGACAACGAGAGTTCCGATTTTGAGTCCGGCGAAGCAAATGAGGGCTTGTCTGGTTAGAAAACCAGAAGGTAGATGACTTGATTGTTGTTAGGGAGGACTTGATTCCAGTTAGGACCGAGTTTCAAAGGTGAAATCAAGTATTACCTACTCATAAAAGTTGTTCACTTTTTATCTGGTCAAATCAGCCGTCACTACTGATAGCACAAACAGTAGTTTGCTATATATTCTAGTAAATGAATTACGAAAATACAAAAATAGCTGTTGATGTTGACACCATTTCCCCCTTTAATGACACCTCGAGGAGAGCCTCATCTTTGCGAAAAAACCGATAAAACCAGTGTCATATGCCTGTCAACATTTTAGCGGCATGTATATCCTCAAAACTGCTTGCAACTGAGATGAATGACATCGAGTCTTTCGTAGAACGAATGAACTATACTGTAGAGATTTAATTTTTTATATAATTTGATATGATTTGTACACAGTTTTATTTCTTAATATATGCATTCTTATTTCACCTCATACATTAGTTGAATCGTGTGTGTGTGTGTGTGTATTTTATGTTTTCATCGCATTTTAGTTGGTTTCAGAGTAACACTATACACTTTCGATTCTTGCATCACCTGACTCATTATTTTCCAATGCATTTTTATTTATTTTTATTTTCATCCCTGTCTTGTAGGGCCTTGTGACCCCAGATTTACTTGCTTGCGCCACAATAATAGTCATAATTGTCACAGAAGCCAATTATTTTCGATGTTAAAGAGGCAAAGGCCTTACAAGACTGCAAACCCTTGCAATAATAAACTATATAGCCAGATTCCTCAGAAGTCTGTATCAACAAAAAGCTCACTAAACTGGTTATGAACCCAACGGCTAAAAGGTCCCTTGTTCATCCGTTGCTTCACGTCTGTAAGCACAGGAGGATTGGCTTCAATTCTAGTCTTCACAGCACTCGAACTATGCAGAGAGAATCCTTTTGATAGGATTCATTCGTCGCACAGCTCCAGGAGGTACAACAGACGTTGATGCCATCTTAAATGGCCAGATAGTTACGGGGATTTAGTATGGAAAGAGGATGGATAAGAACGATTTGGGATGGCCGACAGTCAGGCCATAGATCACTCAGAATAGGGAAGGGAAAAAAAGTGGATTAAAACTTGCAATACGGTCAGGCTGAAGGCACCATAAGACGGAAACGAAAATCTGACTTTTCCTTTCTTGTTTATTTTTGGTATGTATGCTTGACCACATACTTATCAACGCTTTTCGCCAACCAGCTCGTCTCTTTCTAAACGTTCCCTTCCCTTTATTTTTTTGACTGAGCCTCCTTCGCCCACTCTACTTCACTCAACTTGGAACTCCCCCACTGCCTATTCTATTATTGTCCCTCTTTTCAGCCATTCTTCTTTACCTTCTTTTCCTTCCGCTAATATTATTGCACTGTTCCATCCTACCTCTCCCCTTCCCCTCATCTCCTTTCGCATTTACCTCTCTTTACTTGTTCCTCCTTCCTTAATCCTTAGTTGTATCTCTCCTTACGCCTTCTTTTATCACCTCTCTTCTCCTCCTCTTAACACTATTAAACTTCTTTGTCCCTACTCT